TCCATACACTGTAGTCACAAAAACGCGCGCCACCTTTTTTTGAATGGACCAATAATACATCACCAGCTCATCGTCTTCTCCGTTTTCCTGTAAAAAAGCCAAAGAGATAGCGGGGGTTTTTAACCCCCACAAAACAACACGACGGAAAATAGCGAACAAGCCTATGGTTAATATAAATTGGGCGCGATAGTATCAATGTCTTCGTCTCATTCAGACGGTTTCAACCATATGCATCATGAGGCTTAATTTTTCTTATATGGGAAAGCCCCAATTTGGAAATTAAAGAACCCTAACATTTGTCAATGGTGATTTCCGATTCTATGTGTTTCAATGCAATTGACTTATGCCAAAAGATTCCTGTGGATTCAAGCAACACAAAAATAACAAAAAATCATATGAATGATGCATATATTTTGAGTTTCGATTCTGAAAAAGTTTGACAAACCGTGATTCTGTTTGGTGTGATTTCTCAAGCTTTGGCACGCGAATTTGATTGCAATAGATTTCTTACACCTCCAGCAATGTATTGGAAACAATGAAAGGCTTTGAATCGTGCTGGAATGTTGAGAACAGTTTTGACTTTTTGCTTGATTTTTTTTAAATATGGTTTGGCCGTTTGTGCAGTGCTCAGGTCGTGAATTAGGTATGCAATGCTTGCTTATGTATGTCTCAATGAATTTAGGTCAGCAACTAGGCTAATGATCCATGGAATTGATGTCTTGAGATTTTTCTTTAACCACCATTAAAGGACATTCCAAACTTGGTTCAAATTTTGAATTTTATGCATAAATAAGCTTGGCACGATTTTGGAAGCTAGCATATGACACATAAAAGTCATTCAAATCAAAAGATGCCATTTAATTAATTTTTTAGATTTTATTTGAATTTTTATGGATTTAAAATGAATTAAATCAATAAAAATTAAATAAAATAGAAAAATAATTATTTGGTCTTGAAATTGATCATGGGACACGTGGGTGGCATGACAAAGCTGAATCAAGTGGAATAAAGTGGGCCCTTTTGTCAAAAATTAAAGTTTCAAGGATAGTTGACTTTTGCCATTTCACAAAAATTTCTCAACTTCTCTAATGCATATCTTGCTCAATTTTGATCATATGAACATGTTCTTGGACATTTTGGAAAGGTCTTGAAGTCCTCTAACCAATTCCTTTGGTCCCATGTCATTTGGATTTACCAATCTCAAGTTATGATCTTTGACTTAAAGTGCCTTTTTGTTGACTTTTGAAAATGACCTATAATGTTGAAATTGATAACTTTTTGTGAGAGCATTTCTTGGACTTGGAATGTGAAGATGAGTTGTAGGAAATTTCCTCCCCTTAAAAATGAGCATTGGATGGGATTTTTCTGATGAACCATGAAAAAGTTATGCCTTGGTCAAGTTACAGTTGACTTTTCAACTGTCCCAAAATGGAAACTTTTGCATCTTGATGATTTTTGAGCCATGCTTGTGGAATCATGATCAAGACTTGATCAAATGATGATTGTGAGCTCAAAATAAGATGTTGACCAAAAATTTTGACTTTTGACTGCCAAATGACCATTTTACCCCTACAGTTGATTGTGAAGCAAATAGGGTTTTTGACTGTGCAACTTGATGCTGTGAGCCTTGAAACTTGGCATGTAGATGCTTGACAATGTGTATAGGCATATGGGACTTGATTGAGCCCTTGAAAACCTCAACTTCCTTGCAATAACCAAAACCCTAATTTTGACTGGCTTAGGAGGATGGTTTGACTGTACAACCCTTGAGTAGACTTGAGCAAATTGAGATGATGCTTGTCAAAACTTTGAAGAATATGGGAGGGCAAATTTTGGGGTACAACACCTCCTGATGTGCTTCGTTCCATTCGAAAGCTTGTCCTTGCTTCAGACGAAGCAACAAAGAGAAAGCCTGGGTTCTTCCACTTAAATTCGAAATGAACCTTCTTAAAAAATTTATTTTGCCCAACAAAGACTGCAACTCCTTTTTTTGATGTAGGTGCTTTCGTTTCAACAATGGCTCTGGTCTTGTTTTGGTTGATTTCAATGCCTTTCTTATGAACCACAAAGCCAAGAAAATCTCCCGCCTGCACGAAAAATGCACACTTAAGGGGATTCATTTTCAAGCCATGTTTTCTCATTCTTTCGAATGATTGGCTCAAATGATGCAAATGAGTTTCTGCAGATACTAACTTGATGACTATATCATCAATGTACACCTGCATAAAAGTCTCAATGAAATCATGAAAAATCGAATTCATTGCCCTTTGATAAGTTGCTCCAGCATTTTTTAAGCCAAAAGGCATTACTACCCATTCGTAGGTGCCTAAGGCTCCTGGGCAACGAAATGTTGTCTTAGCAACATCTTCTTCAGCAATAAAGATCTGGTTATACCCAAAGTATCCATCTAACATACTTAAATACTCAAATCCTGCAGCCGAATCTATTAACATTTCTGCCACAGGCATGGAATACTCATCTTTGGGGGTAGCAGTATTTAAATCTCTAAAATCTATGTAAATTCTCAGAGAGCCATTCTTCTTAATAACAGGTACTATATTTGTTAACCATTCGACATACCTTGTGGTCCTGATGAATTTGCAGCGCAACAACCTTTCAATTTCAGCCTTGATCTTCGTGAGAACTGCTGGTGCGAACCTTCTAGGGGTCTGCTTGATGGGTTTTTTGCCATCCTTGATTGGAAGTCTGTGTTCCACTAACTCCCTCTTCAAACCAGGCATTTCATCATAATCCCACGCGAAACAATCTTTGTTCTTCCTAAGGACTTCGATCACTTTCTGCTTGAGGCTTGAATTGAGCTTTGCGCTCACGTAAGTTATTCTTTTTATGTTTTCATCTCCCAAGTTCACCTCTTCTAACGGATCCTGCGCTAACATTTTAGCACCTGGTTTGTTCACAAGCAGACCACCATTCAAAATAGCGGACTACCGTCCAAAATAATACTATGAATACACGATGCACAAAACATCACATAAGGTTCGACCATGGCTAGTCAATTGCATCATCATTCATATAAACATCACATGACATGTATTTCATATTTAAAACACGTGCATCATCATAATATCGTCACGATACCATCGTCAACACCATACCAACATCATAGTGTCACGATGAAAAATCGAGGAGATCAAGCTATTGAATAAACTTGACTCACAAAGACTTAAGAAGTCACCACCGAACTTTATTATTTCCAAGGAAAAGGGAAAAGATCGAAATCCTATTGTTTATCATGCAATACAAGGAGTAAAGACTGAAAGCAAAGCATAAGGAAGAGATCCAAGATACTGGGGGTTGGTTATACAAATGAAAGATATTAACATCTTATGTGTAACACGGTGGGAGAACTGACTTGAGTATTTTGCATTTGATCGCAATTATTGCGGATAACAAGAGTCACCACCGACTTTTCTTTTATCCAATAAGGAAAGGTTGAAAAAAACAGGAAAAACCTTTCGAGATATTTTCTTGAGTTCGGAGGGGGGGGGGGGGGGGGGGGTAGATTATGAAAAGGGAAGGTATTAGCACCATTGTCATCCGTAGTTATCTACGGGCTCTTAGTTGCTTGATAGATCACTTGCTTTTGTTTGAAAGTGTGCTTGTAGTGTGAGTTTTGAAAGTATTCGTCCATTTTAACCTAAACCTTAAACACAAAAGTCCTAAATATTAAACACTCAAACCCTAACAACATAAATCCTACACATTAAACACCTAAATGCATATATACATATAACATTTCAAAAAGACAAAAACCTTAAAAACTATAATATTTTACAATTGCAGAAAGAGAGATGTGGAAAATGTAATACCCGAGTTTCTGATGCAGTGGAGAAATATGTGGTTTGCAAAGTTAACACTCCAATGTCCAAATTAATATTAGAATGAAAAATAGTGTTTGAATGAGAAAGAATTTAAATACATGTGAAGTGAAGTAAAACCCTTTCCTCTTTAAATATGATAAATACTAGGTAATTGCACGCGTGTGGAGCGACGTGGGATGCTAACATCCGTTAGATTGATTTAAATGGTTAATGTGATGTTCACATGAAGGATTTCTTGCACAACAGAAAAAAAACTACTTGTTCCACGTTCTACCTGTTCCGCATTCGTGCCTTACGACTTTATCGTTAGGATTTTCACATACGGGTCTTGCAGACTGTCAAAACATCTCTATTCTTTATTTTTTATTTAAGAAAAAAGACAATACACTATGTCAACCAATGCTGATTATGTATTCCGCCAAATAAGACTGAAAATTTTAAAATTACTTATATGATATGATTAAATAGTATATTTTTTTATTAGATGAGAAGTGCATTTCCGTTAAACTTTTTTTATTTTGAGTTAAATTAAATAATGATTGATTTTTGAAATGTGAAGAATTTATTAATTAAAGATTGTATAACCACCTTTAAAGATTGAGTTAATGATTAATATGAAAAAACAATAGAACTACAATTCCAGTTAAATAGAATAACTACCTTTAATTGAAATAAATGAAAAGGATTGTATAAGAATATGAAAGAAGTAAATAAGATGATGTTTATGAAAGAATATAAGAGGTTAAACTTTAAAGTAAGAAAATGTAGTATGTGTTTGGAGAAGAAAAGAACCAAAGAGAGATTGAAAATGTGAAGAAAGAGAAAACATAGAAGCAACTAGGAGTGAGAGAGTGAGAATTAAATAAGTATTTCGATTTAGATACCGACAAATATAATTTTACAAACTGAAACCGTCCGAAATGATTCACTATAAACCAGTATTTTGCAACTCTGCTATCCGATATCCGAACCGACCCACCCACCCAAAACAGTACTAAGTATTTCGATTTTTCGGTTTTCCGGTCGGGGCCGACATATATTGTCCACCCGTATGAATTACTATGAATCGTGGTTTAATAAAGCGGTTCACCTTAGCGTTGTGTTGGTGCCACTGGCCCGAACAATTTTATCTCATTCATTCTCCCACACTTGGAAGTCATGGCTATTTCATTCTCTACGATTCTACTTCCTTCCACTAACCTCACTTCCAAACTACCCATCTTCAACAACACTCCCCATTATCACGCATTACGCCATTTCGCAGGTAACTCCTCACTCTTTTTCTGTTTTCCTTTTTTTCCTTCTTTTTTCTCATACCCATTTACGTATTTACATGATTCCATTATAGATACTCCTAAACGCTTTCACAAAGCTTCCTCCTTTATTGCTTTTGCTACGAACGGTGACCGTGCTATTAGAAAAACCACTCCTAGAAGAGATAGTAGAAACCCGCTTTTGAGTGAAGGGAGAGATGGAGATGAAGCTCTTGGACCCATTTGCCCTGGTTGTGGAATTTTCATGCAAGATAAAGATCAAAATCTTCCTGGGTTTTACCAACAAAGAGAGGTTAAAGTTGAGATTTTTACAGAACAAGATTATGGGGTTGATGATGATGTTGAAGAAGATGATGATGTTGAAGAAGCTAATGAGTTTGATTTGGATTCTGATGAGTTTGAAGCTATGTTACTCGGTGAAGAAAAGGATGACATGCTTGATTTGGATGGGTTTGCTCTTCCAGGGGTTGGATATGGTAATATTACTGAAGAGTTTTTGGAGAGGGCGAAGAAGAAGAAGGTTCCGAAGGCTGAGAAGAAGAGAATGACTAGGGAAGCTGAGAAGGTGAAAGAAGAGGTTACTGTTTGTGCTAGGTGTCATTCCTTGAGAAATTATGGGCATGTGAAGAATCACACAGCTGAGAATTTGATACCTGATTTTGATTTTGATAGGTTGATTTCTACTAGGTTAATAAATCCTGCTGGGAGTGGTAGTGCTACTGTTGTTGTCATGGTTGTGGATTGTGTTGATTTTGACGGTTCGTTCCCGAGAACGGCTGTGAAGTCGTTGTTTAAAGCATTGGGGGGAATGCAGGAGAATTCAAAGAAGGGTAAGAAACTGCCGAAGCTTGTTCTTGTGGCTACCAAGGTTGATCTACTTCCGTCTCAGGTTTCTCCCACGAGGTTGGATAGATGGGTTCGACATCGTGCGAGTGCGGGGGGAGCGCCTAAGTTAAGCGCGGTTTATTTGGTTAGTTCTCGAAAGGATTTAGGTGTGAGAAATGTGCTGTCCTTTGTAAAGACTTTAGCTGGTCCTCGTGGGAATGTTTGGGTCATTGGGGCTCAAAATGCTGGGAAGTCTACTCTAATCAATGCATTTGCGAAGAAAGAGGGAGCTAAAGTTACAAAGCTCACGGAGGCTCCGGTTCCTGGGACAACACTTGGGATTTTGAGGATTGGAGGAATTTTGTCGGCTAAGGCTAAGATGTTTGATACTCCAGGGCTATTGCATCCGTATTTATTGTCAATGAGATTGAATCGGGAGGAACAAAAGATGGTTGAGATACGGAAGGAACTTAGACCTCGGTCCTATAGAATTAAGGTGAGTTATTATTTGCTACTGACATTCTCTTGTATAGATTATACATTTATGTGTTTTTTTGCATGTCAATCAGTTAATAGCCAACAGAAATGAGAAGAGTTCATATTTAAGTGTTTTATTTTCATTTACCTTTTAACAATTTGAACAATTATGGTTTTCGGAGATTATGAACCATGGATATTTGTACTGATTGACAACACTGATATATATATATTTAAAAATAAGATGCTATTGGAATCATATATACTAGTTTTAATTTGCAGGCAGGACAAACTATACATGTTGGTGGGTTGGCAAGACTTGACCTCATTGAAGCCAATGTTGAAACACTATATGTCACAGTTTGGGCATCACCAAACGTTTCTCTACACATGGGTAAAACAGAAAATGCTAATGAAATTTGGAATAATCACGTTGGAGTCAGGCTGCAGGTAAGCATTTTCCTATTCTAATACAAAAATAAATATTCTTCCATCAATATTAAATCTTCACTCATTTCATATAATATTTTTTCCTATCATCTTGCATATCTCACTCAATGTGTGATATAAAGAAAGATTTTGCATGGTGTCTCTGAATGATATACTTCAGCACATAATCATATTTGAATAATCTAGCAAGTATATATTTTTACATTCTCAAGACGAGTTGAGAGTAGGGGCAACATACTTGATACTTCTATATATTTGAGTTTTGCGCACCATGTAGAATTGTTTCTAGGCAATGTGGCCACTGAGATATGTTGATAAGATCTTTGCTTTGCGAGCACTCTTATTTGCAATCTTTGTTGATTTTTGTTTCCATTCCCACATTGAGTATATTGGTTATTGATGTTAATTTTTTTTATTCCAAAAATAGACATACTTTGTTAGGGTTTAGAAAATTTTCAAAATGCTTCAAGTCCCGTGTGTTGTATTCTTTAGTTATTTGGATTTAATTGTTAAGAGTCCCACATCGGACAATATATGACCTACACGTGCTTATAAGTGGGGGCAATCATCACCTTACAAGCCGATTTTATAGGGGTGAGTTAGGTCTTATCACATTTCTTAACATGGTATCAAGAGCCTTGGTTTAAGATCTGGTGGGCCACCTGCTATCAGATTTCCGTTATCGAGCCACCCACCATTTATTTCCGCGCTCCACATGTCCAGTCCTAGGCGTGAGGGGGTGTGTTAAGAGTCCCACATTGGCTTATAAGTGAGGGCAATCATCACCCTACAAGCCGAAATAGAGACTTAGGTGAGCAAGTGGGCTTTGACTTTGGACCCAAACCTAGTTTATTAGTATATCAGTAGCATTGTAAATAGAGGCTTAGGTGAGGAAGTGGGCTTCGATTTCGGACCCAAACCTAAGGTGTGGATTGTATATACAAGGAAGGGGGTAAGGGAGTAAAAGAATGATGACGTGGCTATATAGTACATGGGATTGTTACTATATGGTGCATGGGATAGTTACCCCAAGTACTGAGCTTCAGGTCAGGAAGGAGAGAGAATAAGGAGCTGAGAATTCTGTTAGAAGTGGATCACCATCTTGGAGATAGTGGGAGGCTTGCGTGTGCCTTTGGGATTGATAGTTTTCACTATCAATTTGTTATTTGATTACATTCTTTATTTTCCTGTTATGTGTAATTGTTTCCCAGTTCAATACAATTACAATTTTCATATCTCTATTTCACTATTACTTGCAATTTCATTCTATAACCCATCAATTAAGGGCCAGTTTGTTTGAGCTTTAAAAAAATGGATTTTTTTTTCTATTTTTGAAAATAGGTTTTACAAAACCGTTTTTCAAAATATTAAGTTTTTTTATAATCGTTTTTTCTAAACTGAAACGTTAATTTTGATATCCTATAACATAAACATACATTATTGAAGACTAAAATATAGTCAAAATCGCAATTTTTTAAAAAAGTTGTACTCCCTCCGGTCACTATTATAAGCAAAAAAATGACCTTAAATTTTGGTCACTATTATAAGCAAAAGACATTAACTTTTAGACTAATTAATACTTGTATTAGTATTATACCCTTATTTTAAGTCAAAAGCATTTAATGTTGATAGTTGATTTATCAAATATAACTAAGGATATTATAGTAAATTTTACTTTGATTGGACATGAAATCAAGAAAATTAATTACACTTAACTAACTTTCTTAATCTGTGTGAAAGTAGTTATTTTGGCTTATAATTGTGACCGGAGGGAGTATTTCAAAAATAATTTTTATGAAAATCTATTTAAAATAGCTTCAAAATTAAGTGATTTTTTGAAATTTTGATATCTAAAAAAAGTTACAATAAGAAGATGAAATACTTAAAATAACATTTTAAGAATAACTATTCAAACAAAATTTTCATTTTGAAGCTTTTATAAAAAATTTCTTTGTAAATTTTTTTTACACAATTATGTAACACTATAAAAATTATTATAAAAAAAAGCCAAAACAAACGGGCCCTAAATCCGACCTTCGAGATAGAAACCCCACCAGCATCAGTGACTGTAGATGCTAAGAAAACCTAACATGGGTGACAGAATTGAAGCTTTGGAGGTGCAAATGGGTGACACGAAATTGACATTGGAGGCGTTAGCTCAACTGATGCAGCAATAGAGCTTGGTTCAAACCCATGAAGCCCAAATGCTCTAAAATCTATGTCGCATCGTATCCGATACGTCCTGATATGGCGACGCTGGCAACACGTCTACGGTAAGTTGCAGATATGGCTAGTTAATTTCATGACTATTCATATTTCTGGAACATGCATCAATCTTCCTCATCCTTAATACTTCTTTTTCTCAACTTTAATTACCTCCTCACTTACATTTTTCTATGACAAGAATCAAACTTTTCCTTTAATTACTTTTCTCTCAACTTTAACTCAATTGGTTTTTGTTAGAGAGTGATTTAGCTAAGTTTTAATTTTGTATATATGTATTTTAAACATCGTATCCTAGATTTTTCAATAACTGACGTATCTCCGTATCTGATATGTATCTTATCAGATACCCATATCGTATCCGTGCTTCATTGGCTCTAACTGAGCTCAACAAACAGATCGTCAAAAAACATTGGAGAGATCAGTGGGGGATCATGCGAATGGTGAATCACATCTTTCCGGTAAGAAGGTGAAGCTTTCGATGTTTGAAGGAGACGACCCTGTCGCATGGATCACGCGTGCTGAGATTTATTTTGACGTTCAAAATACATCTGATGATGGGATGCGTGTTAAGCTATCTCGGTTCAGCATCAAGGGTTCCACTATACATTGGTTCAATCTGTTGCTTGAAACAAAAGATAATCTGTCTTGGAAGAAGTTGAAGAAGTCTTCGATTGCTCGATATGGAGGACGTGAGACTGGAGAATTCTTTTGAGGAATTGTCTTCGTTGAGGCAAACAGGGAACATAGTAGAGTTTGTTGAAGCTTTTGAACTCTTATTGTCGCAAATAGGCGACTTCCTGAGGCTCAGTACTTGGGGTGCTTTATGAGTGGACTGAAACAACAGATTCAAAGGAGGGTGAGAACTCTGAATCTGCAAAATCGGATGCACATGATGCGAATGGCGAAGGATGTGGAAGAGGAGTTGAAGGAAGAAGACGATGATGGGGAACGGAGGTTGTGGGCCGTAGTGATTGGAGAGGGTTTGTATCCAAAAATCGAAGCAGGTTGGACCAACTCAACTCGTAAAATGGTTGTGTAGTTCCAATTCAAATTTCATGTCATCCCTGAGTTCAACGGGAAGGAAAAGGGACAATAATCGTTGTCCTGGGTTATCAGAGAAGTGGAAGGGGGTTCGTAATCTCCACATTGAGGAGATGGAGGAGATAAGAGCTAAGGGTTTATGTTTCAAATGTGGAGGGAAGTATCACCCGACGCTTCACAAGTGCCCTGAGCGTTCTATGCGTGTGTTGATTCTGGGTGAAGGAGAAATGTTGAACGAAGACGGGAATTGTAACAATGGAAGCAAAAGAATATGAGGAAGATGTGGAGGCTGAATGCAAATTGATTGGGGTTCTGAGGAGTATGGGAGAGCATTATACAATGAAAATTGAAGGGAGATTGGCCAATGTGAGTGTGATGGTTTTGATTGACAGTGGTGCCAATCATAGTTTCATTTCTCCTGAGATCACCACTGCTCTTGGACTCAAGATAACTCCTATGACAGCTAAAAACATAAAATTAGGTGATAGTCATCGAGTTGTGTCTGAAGGTATGTGTAAGGGAATTTGAATCACACTGGGACCTAAAACTTTTGAAGTTGATGCCCTAGTGTTGGAGTTAGGAGGCTTGGATGTGGTGTTTGGCGTGTCTTAGTTAAATACCTTGGGGAAAGTTGTAATGCAATTTTGGTATGAAGGTCAAATGGTGCAGTTGCAGGGTCAAGGAGGACTGCCAACGAAACAGAGTTTCGTTGATACATTTCTGGAAGACCTACATGAGGTAGTAGGGGAGGATTGGTGGTGACCTCAACATGAAAAAGATAAAGAAGGAATGGTGGAGCAACAAGGAAGGATTAATGATATTCTGGAGTTATTTCTAGACGTGTTCAAGGAAGTGCCTTTTCATTTTAAATAGGTTATTAAAGAGAATATGTAATTAAAGGTGAGTGAACGATCATTGAAGAGAAAAATTTCTGATATTCATACCCTTAAAAAAAAATAAACGGAGCTGTATCCGTGGCATATCGGAGCCGTATTGCCGTCAGATCAGATTTTTTTTTTTTTTAAATAAACAAATTCGGATACTCCTAGGCGTATCAACGCCATATCGGTACATATTGAATATGATTCTGCCAAGATTTTGACGTATCCTTGATTCATTGATGGAGAGTGTAGTCTGACTTAGTTTTAAGGCATATATGTACTGCTTAGCAAATTTGTGCAAAGCTTTGCATGGAATAAAACAAATTATCTCTCTATTTTGAAATTAAATTCATCTATTGGTTGAGTATGGCTAGCGCTCGAGCGTAAGCAGTGTTCTGCAATTCAGACCGCAATCACTATAAACATATCATAATAAAAAATGACAGCAATCGCTCTACTAATAGTCACATTTGACCTAACATCATGATCAATTGATTGTGTCTTCTGAGTGTTTATTCATATAGAGCCAGGTTTTCTACTCTAATACTATGTTTTCCCTAATTTATTTAATTTTTCATTTGTTCTTATTTCAGCCTCCCATTGGCAATGAGCGCGGAGCTGAACTAGGTAGATGGAAAGAAAAAGAAACAAAAGTATCTGGAACTAGTTGGAGTGTCAACTGCATTGACATAGCAATATCCGGTTTAGGTTGGTTCTCTATAGGTATCCAAGGTGAAGCAACCATGAAATTATGGACCTATGATGGAATTGAAATAACTTTAAGAGAACCATTGGTACTTGACCGGGCCCCGTCTCCTGAGAAACCAGGTTTTTGGTTACCAAAAGCTCTGTCCGAAGCTATTGGCAACCAAACTAAACTTGAAGCTCAAAGAAGGAAAAAACTTGAAGAGGAAGATGAAGAATACATAGGGGCAATGACAGGGATATCTTCATGAAAATGAATTGAATTGGTTGTTTTCCTATAGCTTTCATTGAGAAGGATGGTAGAAGCTGTAACTGAACTATGACTTGTTGTAGAGGCAATAGCTTGTTTGCAATTGGAGGGTTTTGTGTCCATTTTTTTCCACCAAGTTGGTGTGAATGCGACTGCCTTGACCAAGGTATACTGGAGAATAGAGAATGAATACAGTCACTGCTGTTTAGATGTCATAGTCTGTGATTGTATGTAGTTTTGAGATGAGTTGTAAGATTTGTTGTGTCTTTCATGTACCGTTATAGTGGTAAAGTAACGCCTAGACTTTTAGGATGTAGTGTATTTTACACACTCTAGTTTGTTTTAATAGTAGGTTTTTAAAGAATTTTTGAGGTCCCATTCTGCACCTGCAGTCTCTCTCATTTAGAAAAAAGTTTCACTGATATATGAACTTTAAAATTTTGCACTCTCTGCTCAAGTTTTCATTTTTAAAAATCACGACTAATTAGGTTAAAAAGTATAATTTCTAAATCAAAATTCATCATTTTTTTCTACCATAACAAAGGATGGTTGAGATCGAAAGCAAAATTTGAGACATGTGTATCTTCTTTTTGGAAGAAGAGGTCTGTATGCTCTTTGCTGAACGATCTCCCATGTTGTTATTAGACTTGTGTATTTTTTGGATTTATGGGCGATCTATAATAGTTGTCTCTCGAGTCTTTGTCTATACGACTTAGGGTTTTGAGGAATGAGGACGTGAAGGCCTTTGATGGGATGCCACTGTTTTCGGGATGAGTGTATTAAATATTTTTCTTGCAAGATGTACCGTGGTGTTAGGCATGATTAACATGTCTCCCTGCGCTAGTCAGAGGTGATGTGTCTCGTACCTTAGGATCAAATTCAATCGATCTCGTGGATTAGTGTTGGCTTTGCATGTTTGGTTACTCTTTCCTCTAAGTCTTAAATTCCAAAATTCTCTTTGGCCTTTGTTCAACTTCTTAGGGTTTTTGAGATAATGAATGTTTGGGCACGCTTGCTAACCACGTTGTACCTGCACCCTTTCGCAACATTAATTAACTAAGGTTATTATATCAAACTCCAAAATGACTGGTAATGATATTTCACAGAGTGGATGGACTAAGAGATCTTGAATATTGTTTCGCCTTTGCTCGCGAGAAATCATTACGACTATGTATGAGAGGGGTGTTGAAAAAATTATTCAATAGTTGAATAAGTGTAATAGGGTGTTGAATAAAGAGTTAAAAGTGAGGTTGATTTTTTAGTGTTGAAAATATTCAAATGTTATGTTGAATGAGGGAGTGAAGTCACATATAATACTTTACAAAATATTATTGGTAATTGTGATTGTTTAGATTTTTATTTTACCTTAATTATTTGGGATCAATTATTTTATAATAAATTAATTTTTTATTTAATTTTATTTTCACCAAAATTCACCATTTTTTCTTATAAATGGAGATTTGGTTCATTTAATTTGGACACAAAAAAATTCACTTTTTCTCTCTATTTTTTCTATTTAACCTTCAATAAACTCTTATTTTATGCACTGTTACTTATTTTAATAATGACTATCCCTATAAAATTAGAAAAAAATTAAAATAAATTAAGAATATAAAATTAAAAAAATTATTAAATTAGAAAAAAAATTAAAATAAATTATTTAACTCTTAATTATTTTAATTTTATTTCAATCGGTAATTGATATTAATATAAAATCATAAAAATAAAAATATAAAAGAAAATAAAAATATGAAATAAAAGTGGTGGGATAGGTGTTGAATTTTATTACTCCCTCAGTTTCAAAATGAATGTCGTTTTAGCAAATAAAATTTGTTTCAACATAAATGTTATTTTTACTTTTCAATGTATAAATGATTGTTATTTTTTCCATTATTTTTTTTTAATTATCACACTTGACACTATTTCCAATACATTTATAAGATTAATTTAGTAAAAGTACAATGTGTTATAACAATATTATTATGGCAAAATACCCTTTTTAGTCCTTTAACTTTACCCCAAGGTCCATTTTGGTCCTTTATCTAAAAAAAGTGTCAAACTGGTCCTATAATTCTTTCAAAAAGACCACGTTTGTCCTTTCCATCCACTCCGTTAGTCATGTTTAATGGCAGCGCTTATGTGGCATTACACGTGGGTTTAGAAAAATTGCATAAGTCAGTTTGACACTCTTATGTGGCATTACCACTCATCCATTGCATGTTTCCTTGAAGGTGAAACCAGACTTCTCATCAGAGGTAAGTTTCTGCTTTCTGCAAGAATTCTATTTTCATAGTTAGGGTTTCCATGAAATTCGTCTCCCTTCTCTGAAATTCATCTCTCTATTTAGGGCATTGTGTGTAATGGAGGAAATTCTTAATATTACGATACACCACAGTGGTCAATTTGTTAGTGAGGACTTGAGTGTGTATGAAGGAGGTGAGATTGCTGATTTGAGAGTAGATGCTGATATGTGGGGTTATTTTGAGTTATTGGGTGCTATTAAGGAACTAGGTTACCCAGCCATAGAGAAGATATACTATAAGGATCCAACTGCTGGAATGAATCTGTTGTTTGATGACAAAGGGGCCTTAGAGATTGCTGATCTATATAGGGTTCATTTACGTGTTGAAGTCTTTATTCAACACCCATTGTCACAGCCTGAGTATGTTGATGAGAGTGAAGTTATTTTAGATGAGATACCCCTGAATGTAATGGAAGATGATGCAGTTAGACAAAATGAGGTAAGTGAGGATGCTGTTGGACAGAAGGAGGCAAGTGAAGATGTTGTTATACAGAAGGATATACAGAAGGAGGCAATTGAAGATGTTGTTGGACAGAAGGAGGCAAGTGAAGATGTTGTTATACAGAATGAGGCAAGTGAAGATGATGTTGGACAGAAGGAGGCAAGTGAAAATGCTGTTGGACAGAACGATGATGATAGTTCTGATGATGATAGCTCTGATGATAGTAGCTTTTCGTATGATAGTGCAAAGGAGGTTGTATTTGATGATGAAACTGATGACTGTGATACTGACTTGGAAGAGGAAGAAGGTATGGCAGAAGTAACTGATCTCTGTGAAACTGAACCAAATAAAGAAGATAGTAAAGGAAGTGATAAAGGAAGTGATAATGAAAGTGAGGATCTTGTAAGTGATTGTGATAGTGAAGATAGCAATACTACCAAGAGAAAGAAGTATCCCATTTTCAAGCTTCTAAAGGATATGTCCAATTACAAATGGGAAGTGGGTACATATTTTAGTACAAAAGAAGATATCAAGGAAGCAGTTACCTCTTATGCAGTCCAATCTGGCAGAAATTTAAAGTACATCAAAAATGACAAGATAAGGGTTAGGGTTAGGTGTAAGGATGGATGTGAATGGGAAGGTTATTGGGATAAGTTGGATGTTGAGGATACTTGGCAACTAAGAAAGGTGATAGACACCCATAGTTGTAGTAGAGAATATCATGTGAAGTTGTTGAAGACTAAATGGCTTAGCAAGAGGTTGCAGAATGCACTTAAAACCAACCCTAGATTGAAGCTTAAGGACATTAAGGAAAAGGTGCAGAGGAAGTGGAATGTGGGGGTCAACAAAACCAAGGCTATAAGGGCTAGGTTTGCAGCAAGAGACATGGTTGATGGGTCATTCTTAGGGGATTATACAAGGATTTATAACTATGCACATGAGTTGTTAAGATCTAACCCAGGGTCAACTGTGAAAGTACATGTCCAACCAGCTCAAGAAGGTAGTGTGTTCAGAAATTACACTTCAAAAGGATTTACATATGCTTGGCAGCTTGTAAGGAAAGCTTCAGGTTAAGTAGACATTTCATAGGGCTTGATGGATGTTTTTTGAAAGGGCTTTGTGGAGGTCAAATCCTGTCAGCCATAGGCAGAGATCCCAATGATCAAATGCTACCAATAGCATATGCAGTAGTGGAGAGTGAAAACAAGGAAAGTTGGACATGGTTCTTGGAGCTGCTTATTGGTGATCTAGGTGGAAGAGAAGAGTGTCTCACATACACTTTTATTTCTGATCAACAAAAGGTATGACTCTATTGTTAATTCTCAATTGATTAGTATTTTTAATAATTAAATTCTCATGTTTATCTTGGTATTCTCATGTTTAATAATTAAGTTATATACATATCATGACCCAGGGATTATTGCCTGCAATGGAGGAACTGCTGCCTACAGTTGAACAAAGATTCTGTGTTAGGCATCTCTACAACAACTTTAGGAAGAGATTTCCAGGAAAAAACTAAAGGAAATTATATGGAAGGCATCCAAATCAACTTACTACCAAGCTTGGGAAAGAGAGATGAAAGTTATGAAACATATCAATGGAGAAGCATACAAGCACATGATGTCTACCCCTCCAAGGTTTTGGAGCAGATCATACTTCAAGACTCATAACAAATGTGATGCAGTTCTCAATAATATGTCAGAATCCTTTAATAGTGTTATTTTGGAGTCAAGGGCCAAGCCATTAATAACCATGGTGGAAGAAATTAGGATATACATAATGGAGAGATGGGCTACAAACAGGATGAGGTTTCAGAAATTGACAGATGTAGAAGTGTTGCCAAACATTATGAAAAAGGTTGAGAAAACAAGTTCATTCACAAACATGTGGCTTCCCAGGTAAAATTATTAAAACAAGCATTTTTTCTGTGTTAGAATGTCTGACTTTGGAATGTCCATTCTCATCTTAATTTGGAATGTCCATTTTTCTGTGTTAGGATGTCTGATGAGCATATGTTTGAAGTGAGGGATCTGGAAAATTCTGCTGAAAAATTCACTGTAAACTTGAAGGAAAAAATCTGTTCATGCAGAAGATGGGAGCTAACAGGCCTACCATGTGTTCATTCACTTGCAGCAATCAAGAATAGGAACCATAGGATTGATGAATACATTCCTGATTATTACAGGAAATCTAGATATTTGCAAGTGTACAAACCTGTCATATTCCCTGTTAATGGCTCAAACCTATGGGTTACAACTGAGTACCCTGATGTTATGCCACCCAAATTCAGGAAAATGCCTGGAAGGCCAAAGAAAAGGAGGAATTTAGAGCAAGGTGAGCTAGATGGTACTGATAAAAAGATGAGAAGAACAAGATTCATTATAAAGTGTAGCAGGTGTAAGCAGGTAGGTCACAACAAGCTTACTTGTAAGGTGCCTTCTACTAGTCAGACACATGTAGCTCAACCATCTGTACCACAAGCACCATCTGTACCACAAGCACCAGTGCCTTCTCAACCATCTCAAGCATCTGTACCAGTGCCTTCTCAACCATCTCAAGCATCTGTACCAGTTCCTTCTCAACCATCTCAAGCATCTGTACCAGTTCCTTCTCAACCATCTCAAGCATCTGTACCAGTGGCATCATCTGTACCAGTGGCATATGTACCAGTGGCATCTCAAGCATCTAAGTCAGTTCCTGGTCAAGGTTCTCAGGCATCTCAATCTAAATCATCCAAAAAGTTGTCAGTTAGAAGGCCAAATGCACCATTTGTCCCATCTCAAGCATCTAAGTCAGTTCCTGGTCAAGCTTCTCAGCCATCTCAATCTAAATCATCCAAAAAGTTGTCAGTTCGAAGGCCAAATGCACCATTTGTCCCACCAGGTCCAACAACGAGGTTAAAGGCATCAATAACTGTTGTAGGTCCAACAACAAGAAGGACAACACCAACTAAAAGAGCAGCACCAAAGTGGAAACCTTAGTTTACTTTTATGTCTGTTTTGGATTAGGATTGGACCTATAGTTGTTATGTTGTTTTGTTAACTTGGAATATTAGAATTGGTTATGTTAAGTTGTTTTGATCATGTAATATCAAGAAGGACAAGTTTTTGTTTTGACCTGTAATATCAGGCTGTTGTTTTGATCATGTAATATCAAGAAGGACAAGTTTTTGTTTTGACCTGTAATATCAAGCTGTTTGGATTGGACCTGTAATATCAGGTTCTTTTGTATGCAACTTAGTGGTATCCACCACCTTATAATTATATGTTTGGATTGTTACAGTATGTTACATTATGTTTTACATTGATACAAAAATGCTACTAGTTTTACAGTACGTTACATTGATCAAAATGCTACATTGATACAAAAATTGCTACATTATGTTTTACAGTATGTTACATTGATCAAAATGCTACTAGTTCAAAAATTCAAGTTGATACAAAAATTCAAATTCATAATGATACCATGTTCAAATTGAGAATGTGTTACATATGAATCTATTACAACATCATCCAAATTACCACAACTAACATAATAAAGAAGAATCTTTTCCATTTTTTCTGAGAATTCTTCATCTTCTTCATTTCAATTTGTAACTCCATTATCTTATGTTTCAGTCCATCCTTCCTTTCCTTTAGATGATGTATCTCCATCTTTGCTCCATCAAGCTCATTTTGCAGCTTCTCCAACCTATTATTCTGCTTCTTTATAAACTGATCCTTCTCATTCACCACATCATCAAAGAACCATTGAAAGTATCCACACCCAGATTCAGATGAACCCTATAATGGTGACATCCAGATTCATCTCAGCTATTGCAGGAACTATCAGAACAAGAATATATGAAAACCCATTTTAATTTCATGCTTACCTTGTAATGACGACAACCCCAGAATTGCTTCCCAAAGTTTGTGACGGTGGTAGCCCTTCGAAGAACCGCAGATTCTCCACAACCACATATAGGTCTCCATCGCAACTTTCCATCTAAGCTTCCATCTCTATTGCAATCGTACGAAGACCGGATCTCTGATGATGCTTCCTTCATCATATTGAGGGAATTTCAAATTCAAAATGGGAAAATTGAGGATTTCTTGAACCCTAGAATTTGAGGATTTCTGGAACCAGCTTGAAGATGATAACATTCCATGTCACCTGCCACGCATGCAAACCAAACGTCCGTTTGGGCCTTTTGGACGGAAAGGATTCCTATGGTCCTTTTGAAAGAATTATAGGACCAGTTTGACACTTTTTTTAGATAAAGGACCAAAATGGACCTTGGGGTAAAGTTAAAGGACTAAAAAGGGTATTTTGCCTATTATTATATTCCTTAATATGTGTGTAAAAATCTTAAACAACACTCATTTTGAAACGGAGAGAGTAAACAAAATCATTGTAGTGACTAAAAGTTGAATGAATATTGAATTATTAGGTGGAAGAAAGAAAAGATAATATGGAGTATAAAAAGTGAAAAAGAATAGTGTTGAATATGTAAACCATTGTACATATGTACATAGTCTATCAAGTTATTCTCTCTGTTTCTTTTTAATTGTCACTTTTGGAAGAAAAAAATTATGTTTTTTTTTTAATTGTCACTTTTAAATTTCAAAGTAGTGTTAGTGATAGTTTTGTCAAAATCATCCCTAATCATTTATTATATATAGAGAAAAAAAAATTACTCCATCCATTTCAAAATGAGTGTCGTTTTAGAGAAAAAATTGTTTCAAAATGAATTTCATTCTCACATTTCAATATAATAATGATATCTATCTTTCCAATTATGTACTATAATTATTACTCAGTACACTACTTTCAATAAATTAATAAGACTGAATTAGTAAAAGTGCAATGTCTCATGACAATATGATTGTATTCCTTAATTTGCGTGCAAAAACTTTAAACGACATTCATTTTAAAACAGAGAGAGTAAAATAATAAAAAGTTAAGGGTATTATAGGTAAAAGAAAAATTATTGCTTAAAAATAACAATAATCATTAGCTTTATTAGTATTTGTAAAAAGTTAAAAAAATGACAATTAAAAAGAAACAAAGATAGTATAACTGATATGGGTCGTGCGTCTAACTGGGGAGTGTTTCTTCCATTGTCATTTTTTGATTTTTGTACGCATACCAATAAAGTTAACGATTGTTGTTACTTTTTAACCAATACTTTTTCTTTTACTTATAATAGCTTTAATTTTTTTTTATAATTATTTTAACTTATTTTCTCTCTTTTTATAGTAAATGATTAGAGATAATTTTGACAAAATTATCACTAACACTACTTTGAAATTTGAAAGTGATAATTAAAAGAAACATACAATTTTCAGAAAAGTGACAATTAAAAAGGAAGCAGAGGGAGTAACTATTTTAAGAACTATTTTTATGTGATTTGATTAGATGTATAACTATTGATCGTACCTGATCAGAAGGGATTGTCAAAGCCCATAAATTTCAAGTCGAGCAGTAGTTGAATGTGAAGTGGAGGGGGGGAGGGGGAGGTACCTGCAAGACACTCTGATGTCAAAGTAAGGTTCATAACAAATGCAAGAAAGTATGAGAGTATGAGTGAGTGATTAAATATCTGACCCCCTCAAGTGAGAGGGTATTTATCATTCCCAGTGCTGGGTCAAGATCTTCAGTAATGGGCCATGATGAGGCCCAACAACAAAGACTGCCAGGATTTACGGGTGTATGGAGTCCAGCACGTGGCCTCCTTCCTGGTTAACTGTCTCGAGAAAGCAGGATCTGAACCCATTAATCTCGGAGGACTGAATGATGATGATATGGACATGTAAGTTGCATTCTCCTAGTGGACACGTGGGGAAATACCCAACATCCTCAGTTTGGGCTGCATGCTATTGGGTCTATAGTAAAGGCGTTGGGTTGGGCCTCTCCAACGATGGGGTAAGTGTCGGTCCAGTCCATAATAGGAGTTCCCCAAGTTATTGCTCTTAGGTGAAAGAGTGATAACTTAAGTTCAGTTCAACTGTCAGGGAAACATCGTTTGAGAGGGGAAATTTCCAACCTCCGTCGGGGATGGCTCGTTGACTCGTGTTGAGGATTCAGAAAATATATGTGTGGTATGGTCGACATGGGCCCATTGGTCGGCTTTGGTTTTGATATTGTCAGTTTGGTGCCAGTTAGAGATATATAATCATGGGATGCGAGGAGTTTCCCCGAGTATTATTCTTTGACGCACCCATCTATAAGACGTTGCTACGATGTTGAGCATTTACCCCGCCTTCATGAGTGAAACGACATAAATATGCCCTTATGTAAGGCTTTGTCATGATCTCGCGCGTTCGCCTGCCACTTGGGATGAAACATCATCGACGCACCCGTATACAAGGTTTTATATCGATGTGGGGCATGAGTTCGTCATCAAGAGTGGACACGTGGTTTTGCGCGAGACTATTGTGGGTAACGTATCCTCTTGTCAACCCCACGTGGCACCTGTTTGGGGTGCCGTCTTTTCATAGGGGAGTCCAAAAGCCCCAAGTAATGATGACTGTTCGCGTGTTGCCTCGTGAGGTGTACACTATCTATAAAAAGGGGAATTCAGAGGCTCATTTATCATTTTCAATCTCTCTTCTCCTCTCTCCTACGTTCGTTCGTGGATCTGTTTTGTTCTAACGCCACCGTAGACGTATTCAAAGATAATCTTCTTCCAAGTAAGTTATATCTTCTTGATAACGCTTTTTCTTAGAATTTTTAGATTAAACACTTGAGTTTTGTCATGAAAGGATGAATCCTTGGATGAATATTTATGGGTTCTGAAGTGGATCTTCATGGGTGTTCATCAAATTTCATGGTTGTGGATGAAGATTCATAAGTCTAATTTCATAGACTCGTGTCGGGGTCATCCTCCCCGGATAGCGGGTCCGGGGAGGATTTGGGCAGCTTCGCCCGTTAGACCAAATGTCCCTTCACATGACATCGTTCAATATGGTGTTAGCTGCCGAGGGCTTAGGTTGAGGTCCATTCCTCGACACATTCATCGCCCTTTCACTTAATTTGCGGTGGAAGGGTGAATTTGATGATGTCGAATTCACTGTTTCCCCTGCTTTTCAGGTAATGATGGCACACCAAGTCGAGGAAGACATTCTGCCCGTCCCTCACAATAGTGATACTACTGTCACGAAGACCCTTTGGCTTGGGTCTCACCTGAGCCTCGGAGAAAAAAGTCGTGTTTTTCGCAGGACACTTTTGACGCGTTCAATGTCCCCGAGGTTCGAGCAGATGGTGCTCCTTCCAATTGAGCTCTTCAAATCCCTCACCAGAACAGGAGGATATGCTCGACATACCTGGGAAAACGTTTTCCTACGTATGAGTTTACTTTTAAGGAAGCGGGGATGCGTTTTCCATTCAACGACTTTCAGGTGGGGGTTTTCCAATGGTTACAACTGGCACCTTCCCAACTTCATCTGAATGCACCCTCCTTCGTGCGTGCATTCGAGCATGCATGCCAGTACCTTCAGATCGGTGCCACATTGCCCCTCTTCTTCCGTATATTTCACTTGCAACGACTTTCCATCAGAGGGTGACAAGCCTGGGTGTCGTTTAAACAGCTCAGAAAACTTTTCCGTTCGTATCTTGAATTTGTTCGCCACTTTAAAGAGAGGTACTTCACCGTGAAGCTTCTTACAAATGCGGCCGTGGCTTCCTTGTATAATCTCTTGGAAGAAATCGAGGGGGGTCGGACAGTAGTCTGGTTGATGGCTAGGTTTCCTCTTGAGTAGCAGTGGAAACACTTTGAGCAGAAGCCCAAATATTACGTGGTGAAGCACGAGGACTTGGACGCCTAGGATCAGCTTTCTTATGACAAGCTGGTGGACTATGTCAAGAGTTTCTCACTGCTGAAGTGTGTGGACGTGGATAAAAACTTCCTTTTTGATGATAAAGGGGAGTATCTCCTTGTTCACAGACTGATTAATACAAAAGCACTGCTGGAGTGCTCTTTATACGAGGAGGCTTTAAGACT